TTGTACGCACACAGCTGCTAGGAGCGTTTTAGTGTCACTGGCCATGGTCCTGAAACCTTCGATGGATTCGTTGTGAAATAAATTCCTAAACAAAGCCTATATTTGTTTGGGTTAAATTGTCAAACACAATACCGACCCAATAAGGGCAATCGACATCAAATTAACCACAGTCTTGTCTTGTTTGCGACAGGCATTTCTACATATTGAGATTAACCTTTTGTATTCTGTATTTTGTCCCGTATAATCACTGATTTTTCACCACATTGCCCCAGTTATGATCTTAACGGTTTTAATTACATTAGAACTCCCGTGATATCAGTATCATAATAAACTGAAATTACTTGTGTGAACATTGCTCAGCAGTGTACAATCACAATATTTATTTACACCTATTTCATGAGAGAATCCAATTAATACTTAAAACTAGAATATAACGTAGCCCATAAACTGTTTGAATAGTGTTCACACCATAAACATTACCATGGATGGGCTCTGAGCGCCGCTGTTGATACATCACTGACTTACTGTCCAAATAAGCAGTGCAGTGGTCCACCCCTTTATTCCCATTCAGTTTTACAGCTTAGATAGAAGACGATGTGTCCTGTGAGGATTTAAGGAGCAGCATTCGTCGTGAACGTTTCCTGCTGAAAACATCGTTATACAATTCATGGATTTATTTACATCAGTTTTGCATTGAAAGGGATTTCTGCGTCTGTACCTCTGGATTTATGATGGCTTGTTTGTGGATACCCGCGCGCAGAGGCCGATGGCAAGCACTGTTTGTGACTCTTTGTCTTTTCGAGCTGAGCTCAGTAGCTGGACAGGCTCGGTACTCCGTACCGGAGGAGCAGGCAGAAGGCTCTTTTGTTGGAAACATCGCTAGAGATTTAGGTTTGGATGTGACGAGGCTCATATCAGGTAAAGCTCGTATTATTACCAAAGGAAGCCGACAGTACGTTGATTTAAACAGAGACAAAGGCACGCTTGTTATTAAAGAGAGGATCGACCGAGAAGAGCTATGTAGAAAGACGACGCCCTGTAGCTTCAGTTTCGAGCTCATTTTAGAAAACCCAATCCAGCTTTACCGTGTAACAGTGGAGGTTATAGATATAAATGATAACAGTCCGTCTTATCCTAAGGATGAAATACATTTAAAAATAGTGGAAAGCGTTACATTAGGGACTCGCTTTTCTTTAGTGAGCGCTGACGATCCGGATGTGGGAATTAATGATATTCAAAAGTACATGCTTAAACCCTCAGATAATTTCAAGCTGGAAGTGCAGATCCAGCCTGATGGAGAAAATGTGATCGAAATGGTTTTACAAACCCCCTTAGACCGAGAGAAAGAGGAGACTCACAATCTCGTGCTGATTGCTTCAGATGGAGGGGAGCCACACAGATCAGGGACAGTGCGCATTCACATCACTGTGCTGGATGCTAACGATAATGCGCCAGTGTGCAGCCAGCCTGTTTATAAAGCAGAAGTCAAGGAAAACTCTCCTACAGGAACAGTGGTAACCTCTGTGAGTGCAAAAGACGCAGATAAAGGAGTCAATGGTGAAGTATCTTATTCCATAGCTAATGTTGCCAGAGAGGTGAAAAATATTTTTGAAGTAAACGTCAAAACTGGGGAAATTAAAGTTGCAGGTAATCTGGATTTTGAAGAATCTAAGACCTTTCAATTAAAAATTCAGGCTAGTGACCATGGTGGACATTCAGATACGTGCAAAGTTATTATTCAAATAATTGACGAGAATGACAACGTCCCTACAATTCAGCTAATGTCATTTTCTAACTCTATATCTGAGGACTCTCCTCCAGGTACAACTATAGCTGTTATGAATGTTGATGATGAAGACTCTGATGGTAACGGTGTTGTAAAGTGCTCAATGAACTCTGATATACCTTTCAAAATCGAGTCCTCATTAACAGGATATTATACTATAGTAACCGAAGACTACTTAGACAGAGAAAGTATTCCTGAGTACAATATCACCATCACTGTCTCTGACCAAGGCTCCCCGCCTCTGACCAGCAGTAAAAACATAAATGTAAAAGTTTCTGACGTGAATGACAGCCCGCCCAGATTTGACCAATCAGAATACAGTAAGACTATACCGGAGAATAACTCTCCGGGGTTTTCTGTGTTCACACTAAGTGCAAGTGATTCAGACTGGGGTCAAAACGCTCGAGTTTCTTACTTTCTGGAGGAGAAAGACAATAATGGGGCAGCTGTGACTTCATTAGTCTCAGTCAATTCAGAAAATGGGGTCATTCATGCAGTGAGGTCTTTTGATTATGAGCAAATCAAGTGGTTTGAATTTAACGTAACTGCACGCGATGCTGGATCCCCTCCTCTGAGTTCAGTGACCACAGTTAAAATACTGATCCAGGACCAGAACGACAACCCTCCTCAGGTCCTGTACCCAGTCCAGACTGGTGGCTCTCTGGTGGCTGAGATGGTGCCTCGATCAGCAGATGTGGGCTATCTGGTCACTAAAGTGGTGGCTGTTGATGTGGACTCTGGACAGAATGCCTGGCTCTCCTATAAACTGCAGAAAGCCACAGACAGGGCGCTGTTTGAAGTGGGCTTACAGAATGGAGAAATAAGGACTATCCGCCAGGTGACTGATAAAGATGCTGTGAAACAAAGACTGACTGTTATAGTGGAGGACAACGGGCAGCCCTCTCGTTCAGCTACAGTCATTGTTAACGTGGTGGTGGCGGACAGCTTCCCGGAAGTGCTGTCTGAGTTCACTGACTTTATACAGGACAAGGAGTACAATGACAACCTGACTTTTTACTTAGTGCTGGCTCTGGCTGTAGTGTCCTTCCTCTTCATCACGTGTTTAGTGGTTATTATATCAGTGAAGATCTACAGGTGGAGACAGTCTCGCATCATGTTTCACTCCAATCTCCCTGTGATTCCATATTATCCTCCACGTTACTCAGACACTTTGGGGACAGGGACTCTCCAACACGTGTACAATTACGAGGTGTGCAGGACGACTGACTCCAGAAAGAGTGACTGTAAATTTGGCACAGCCCGGAGTCAGAACGTGCTGATAATGGACCCCAGTTCTACAGGGACGATGCAGCGGATACAGAGTGAAAAGAGCATCCTGGATGAACCTGACTCTCCTCTAGAGGTTAGTTAAATAATTAAGCCTATCTTCTGTGCTCATGTATCTCTTTATGTGCTTAGTTGCAATATTTGGGAACTTAAGTACGCCATTTTGGCGTTTTCAGAACCATGGACAGCATCCCACTGCCTGAATACTGAATAAGTGATGGCTGTCATATTATTCCACATGCACCGTATTTTGTCTTCAATTCCTTGTGTGTTTAAGTGAACAGAAAACTCCCTTGAAGCTTTGATTGCTTAATCACTTTTTTTCATTTATACAGACCTTGCTAATAGCACATATTTTATAGCTTTCGGTAGAAAAACCTAGTTTATGCAGTTTTAAACACCTCAAGTTCATGTCAAAGGTTCCCTCTATTATATTATAGTTATATTGTATAACATTTCATTTACAATATTGGTAATTGGGTATGTCGTTATCTGCACTTATATTAGAGTCAGTAGTATAGATGTGGAGAAGTATTGTTCTCAGTATTTGATTGGCTGGCTGTTTTTGTTTTGAGATATTTAAATTAATTTTCGTTCATATTGAGCAGACGGAACAAGTTTTTTATTTGATACACATGTTCTCATAATATATTATTAATAAATATATTTTTATAAAAATCATTGACATCATTATTCTCACATGGTACTTGCATTACTTTTATCTGCATGAAAGGACTTGTGAGTCCTTGCCCGCAATGTTGGCTGTTTTTAGACTTTAATAATTTCAGTTCCTTCACAGCGACTTTTCTGGACTCAGAATTTCCCCCTCCATTAATTTATTTGACATAATTTGATTATGTAAGTAGTCTTTCTAATCAATTGTATTGTACATCTTTGTATTTGTATCCATCGTATTTTGTCTTAAATTCCTTGTGTGTTTAAGTGAACAGAAAACTCCCTTGAAGCTTCGATTGCTTAATCACTTTTTTTCATTTATACAGACCTTGCTAATATTACATATTTTATAGCTTTCGGTAGAAAAACCTAGTTTATGTTTTAAAAACCTCAAGTTCATGTCAAAGGTTCCCTCTATTATATTATAGTTATATTGTATAACATTTAATTTACAATATTGGTAATTGAGTTTGTCGTTATCTGCACTTATATTAGAGTCAGTAGTATAGCTTTGGAGAAGTATTGTTCTCAGTATTTGATTGGCTGGCTGTTTTTGTTTTAAGATATTTAAATTAATTGTTGTTCATATTGAGCAGACAGAACAAGTTTTTTATTGATGGCTTGTTATACACATGTTCTCATAATATACATCAATAAATATATTTTCATAAAAATCAGTGACATCATTATTCTCACATGGTACTTGCATTACTTGTATCTGCATGAAAGGACTTGTGCTTGCCAGCAATGTTGGCTGTTTTACACTTTAATAATTTCAGTAGCTTGAACAGTGACTTTTCTGGACTCAGAATTTCCCCTTCCATTAATTTATTTGACATAATTTGTCATTCTAATCAATTGTATTTGTATTTATTTTGGTTTCAGATGTAGTTTAAGTTTTATTGAACATAGTTATATTTCTAAAGATTCAAACAAATGAGAGAAATCATGGCCATAAACACGTTATATGTGGCCATTTATGTTACTAATTGTTACCTTATTCAAGTCAAACATTTCCAATAAATCTGCTGGGCAGATTGGTTAATGTTGGTTTGCTGCAGTTTTCCATGGTGGACTCTTAGGGCCGCTGTTGACCAGAATGTGCACGGCTGAGAGTAGGTCTGTGGCAGCACCTCCCATGTAATATCATCATAAAGAAGAGAGAACACGACGGCAAAACAACGGACTCGGGGAGAATATCTGAAAACACACGACGATCTTTGAGACGTATCTATTTACTGTGTGGATTGTATAGCTGTGAAATTGTCGTTTGACACTGAAGTGGACTGTATTTTGTTGGATATTTAACCGGACTGTGGGATTTTGCTGAAAAAATACAAGGATTGAACAATGAAAGGAGAAGTGCTGTTGTTCATCTCCCTCCTTTCGCTCGGCTCGGTTATTGGGCAGGTCAGCTACACGATACCAGAGGAAATGGCAAAAGGCTCTTTAGTAGGCAACATAGCACAAGATTTAGGTTTGGAAAGCAAACGTTTGACTTCTGGTAAAGCTCGAATTTATACCCGAGACAGCGACGAGTACATCGAGCTGAACAGAGAAAGAGGAGTCCTCCTCGTCAAACAGAGAATCGACAGAGAGGCTCTCTGCAGACAGACGACGCCTTGTGCTTTACATTTTCAGATTATTTTGGACAATCCTATGGAGTTTTACAGTGTGACAGTCCAGATTACAGATATTAATGATAATACACCAACCTTTGAAAAAAGCGAAAAGAAATTCAAAATCAGCGAGTCAGCAATCACCGGAGCAAAATTCGTGCTGGAAAGAGCTGTTGATCTTGATGTTGGACTTAATGATCTTCAAAGATACGAATTAAAACCAACTGATCATTTTGCTCTGAAAATCCACAATAACGCAGATGGGAATAAAAACGTCGAGATGGTGCTACAGAAGCCTTTAGACAGAGAGAAACAAGAGCAGATATCTCTTGTGTTAACGGCTGTGGACGGAGGAGATCCGCAGATGTCAGGAACAATGCTGATTGTTATTACAGTTTTAGACCATAATGATAATGCCCCCGTTTTTACACAGCCCACATACAAGTCTGCAGTAACTGAAAACTCACCTAAAGGCACAGTTGTTGCCACTGTCACAGCTTCAGATGCAGATCAGGGTTCTAATTGTAAAATAACATATTCAATCACAAATACATTAGACGATGTCAGGAAAATATTTGAAGTAAATGAGCAAAACGGTGAAGTTTTATTAATTGGAAATATTGACTTTGAAGATTCACGGAACTATCAAATAAATCTGCTTGCTAGTGACGAGGGAGGACTCACAGATTCTTGCAAATTATTTGTTGATGTACAAGACATGAATGACAACGAGCCTGAAATTAACATAATGTCGAAGTCAAATGTGATATCAGAGGATGCCGAACTCAATACAGTCGTTACAATGATAAATATTGAGGACATGGACTCCGGAGAAAACGGTAACGTGAAATGCTTAATTAACGAAAATATACCTTTCGCTCTAAAGAAATCTACAAATAATTTCCATAGTTTAGTGACAGATAGTGATTTAGACAGAGAGACAGCATCTCAGTATAATATTACAGTGACCTGCTCTGATGAGGGCGTGCCCTCCCTCTCCAGCAGCGTCACTCTCACCTTACAGATCTCTGATGTGAATGATAACGCGCCTGTCTTTGACAGCAGCTCATATGAGGCCTACATTGTAGAAAACAACACACCAGGCCTCTCTATATTCACAGTGAGAGCCAGAGACGCTGACTGGAACCAGAATGCCCGTGTTTCTTACATCCTGGAGGACTCCTCTGTTAACGGAGTGCAAGTCTCCTCTTATGTGTCTGTTAGTGCTGATAGTGGAGTCATCCATGCAGTGCGCTCTTTTGACTACGAGCAGATCAAAGACTTCCACTTCCGGGTCAAAGCTCAGGATGGAGGCTCTCCTCCACTGAGTAGCAATGTGACTGTGAAAATACTGATCCAGGACCAGAACGACAACCCTCCTCAGGTCCTGTACCCAGTCCAGACTGGTGGCTCTCTGGTGGCTGAGATGGTGCCTCGTTCAGCAGATGTGGGCTACCTGGTCACTAAAGTGGTGGCTGTTGATGTGGACTCTGGACAGAATGCCTGGCTCTCCTATAAACTGCAGAAAGCCACAGACAGGGCGCTGTTTGAAGTGGGCTTACAGAATGGAGAAATAAGGACTATCCGCCAGGTGACTGATAAAGATGCTGTGAAACAAAGACTGACTGTTATAGTGGAGGACAACGGGCAGCCCTCTCGTTCAGCTACAGTCATTGTTAACGTGGTGGTGGCGGACAGCTTCCCGGAAGTGCTGTCTGAGTTCACTGACTTTACACAGGACAAGGAGTACAATGACAACCTGACTTTTTATTTAGTGCTGGCTCTGGCTGTAGTGTCCTTCCTCTTCATCACGTGTTTAGTGGTTATCATATCAGTGAAGATCTACAGGTGGAGACAGTCTCGCATCATGTGTCACTCCAATCTCCCTGTGATTCCTTATTATCCTCCACGTTACTCAGACACTTTGGGGACAGGGACTCTCCAACACGTGTACAACTACGAGGTGTGCAGGACGACTGACTCCAGAAAGAGTGACTGTAAGTTCGGCAGAGCCGGTAGTCAGAATGTGCTGATAATGGACCCCAGTTCTACAGGGACGATGCAGCGGATACAGAGTGAAAAGAGCATCCTGGATGAACCTGACTCTCCTCTAGAGGTGAGGTGCAATTTGCAAAGTATATACTTCTTGAATATTGTTTCTTTGGATAAATAGTATTTGGTTACAGTTTATTTCTGAGAACAAGTGCAAGCGGTCAGTTTCAGCACCATATGGTGGACAGCTTCTCTTTTAGTGAAAAAGCTTTCTGTTCCGAAGAGCTTCAACTTCCTTAAATGTTACCTTGTATACGAATCAATTGCCTATATAATAATAATAATAATAATAATAATAATAATAATAATAATAATAATAATAATAATAATAATAATAATAATAATAATAATAATAATAATAATAATAATAATAATAATAATAATAATAATAATAATAATAATAACAGCAACATTGGGAACGTCTCTCAGCATTTCCAAAAATCAATTGCCCTTACCAGTTAGGTGTTTGAATTATCATTAGTTGTGTTATTGTGGCTATTAATATGTATGTGTTATTGAGGTCTAAAGTCAGAAGCCATCCCATTATACACCGATATGCATCCAAACGCTTGTATATTAAAAGTGTTCCTTATATTTAAACCACCATAAACATTACCGTGGATGGGCTCTGAGCGCCGCTGTTGATACATCACTGACTACTGTCCAAATAAGCAGGGCAGTGGTCCACCCCTTTATCTCCATTCAGTATTTTACAGCTTAGAGAGAAGACGATGTGGCCTGTGAGGATTTAAAGAGCAGCATTTATCGTGGACATTTCTGCTGAAAACACTGTTACTATTCAATTCATGGATTTATTCACATCAGTTTTGCATTGAAAGGGATTTCTGCGTCCATACCTCTGGATTTATGATGGCTTGTTTGTGGATACCCGCGCGCAGAGGCCGATGGCAAGCACTGTTTGTGACTCTTTGTCTGTTCGAGCTGAGCTCAGTAGCTGGACAGGCTCGGTACTCCGTACCGGAGGAGCAGGCAGAAGGCTCTTTTGTTGGAAACATCGCTAGAGATTTAGGTTTGGATGTTACGAGGCTCATATCAGGTAAAGCTCGTATAATTACAAAAGGAAGCCGACAGTACGTTGATTTAAACCGAGATAAAGGCAGTCTTGTTATTAAAGAGCGGATCGACCGAGAAGAGCTGTGTGGAAAGACGACGCCCTGTAGCTTCAGTTTCGAGCTCATTTTAGAAAACCCAATCCAGCTTTACCGTGTAACAGTGGAGGTGATAGACATAAATGATAACAGTCCGTCGTTTCCAAAGGGGGAAATACATTTAAATATCGTTGAAAGTGTTACATCAGGGACTCGCTTCTCACTTGAAAGTGCAGACGACCCTGATGTTGGAATTAATGACATTCAAAAATACGTGCTAAAACCTTCAGATCATTTCAAATTGGAAGTGCAGATCCAGCCTGATGGAGGAAAATTCATCGAAATGGTTTTACAAACCCCATTAGACCGGGAGAAAGAGGAGACTCACAATCTCGTGCTGGTTGCTTCAGATGGAGGGGAGCCACACAAATCAGGGACAGTGCGCATTCACATCACTGTGCTGGATGCTAACGATAATGCGCCAGTGTGCAGCCAGCCTGTTTATAAAGCAGAAGTCAAGGAAAACTCTCCTACAGGAACAGTGGTAACCAGTGTGAGTGCAACTGATGCAGATAAAGGAGTGTATGGTGAAGTTACATTTTCCATATCTCACGTTGCCAAAGAAGCAAAAAATATGTTTGAAGTAAATGTTATAACTGGAGAAATTAAAGTTGCAGGTAATCTGGATTTTGAAAAATCTAAGACCTTTCAATTAAACGTTAAGGCTAGTGATCACGGGGGACATTCAGATACGTGCAAAGTTGTTATTCAAATAATTGACGAGAATGACAACGTCCCTACAATTCAGCTGATGTCATTTTCTAACTCTATATCTGAGGATTCTCCTCCAGGTACAACTATAGCTGTTATGAATGTTGATGATGAAGACTCTGATGGTAACGGTGTTGTAAAATGCTCCATCAACTCTGACATACCTTTCAAAATTGAGTCTTCATTAACAGGATATTATGCTATAGTAACCGAAGACTACTTAGACAGAGAAAGTATTCCTGAGTATAATATCACCATCACCGTCTCTGACCAAGGCTCCCCACCTCTGACCAGCAGTAAAAACATAAATGTAAAGATTTCTGACGTGAATGACAGCCCGCCCAGATTTGACCAATCAGAATATAGTAAGACTTTACCGGAGAATAACTCTCCGGGGTTTTCTGTGTTTACTCTGAGTGCTAGTGATTCAGACTGGGGTCAAAACGCTCGACTTTCTTACTTTCTGGAGGAGAAAGAGATTAATGGGGCAGCTGTGACTTCCTTAGTGTCAGTCAATTCAGAAAATGGGGTCATTCATGCAGTGAGGTCTTTTGATTATGAGCAGATCAAGTGGTTTGAATTTAACGTAACAGCTCGCGATAATGGATCCCCTCCTCTGAGTTCAGTGGCCACAGTTAAAATACTGATCCAGGACCAGAACGACAACCCTCCTCAGGTCCTGTACCCAGTCCAGACTGGTGGCTCTCTGGTGGCTGAGATGGTGCCTCGTTCAGCAGATGTGGGCTACCTGGTCAGTAAAGTGGTGGCTGTTGATGTGGACTCTGGACAGAATGCCTGGCTCTCCTATAAACTGCAGAAAGCCACAGACAGGGCGCTGTTTGAAGTGGGCTTACAGAATGGAGAAATAAGGACTATCCGCCAGGTGACTGATAAAGATGCTGTGAAACAAAGACTGACTGTTATAGTGGAGGACAACGGGCAGCCCTCTCGTTCAGCTACAGTCATTGTTAACGTGGTGGTGGCGGACAGCTTCCCGGAAGTGCTGTCTGAGTTCACTGACTTTACACAGGACAAGGAGTACAATGACAACCTGACTTTTTACTTAGTGCTGGCTCTGGCTGTAGTGTCCTTCCTCTTCATCACGTGTTTAGTGGTTATTATATCAGTGAAGATCTACAGGTGGAGACAGTCTCGCATCATGTTTCACTCCAATCTCCCTGTGATTCCTTATTATCCTCCACGTTACTCAGACACTTTGGGGACAGGGACTCTCCAACACGTGTACAATTACGAGGTGTGCAGGACGACTGACTCCAGAAAGAGTGACTGTAAATTTGGCACAGCCCGGAGTCAGAACGTGCTGATAATGGACCCCAGTTCTACAGGGACGATGCAGCGGATACAGAGTGAAAAGAGCATCCTGGATGAACCTGACTCTCCTCTAGAGGTTAGTTAAATAATTAAGCCTATCTTCTGTGCTCATGTATCTCTTTATGTGCTTAGTTGCAATATTTGGGAACTGAAGTACGCCATTTCTGCGTTTTCAGAACCATGGACAGCATCCCACTGCCTGAATACTGAATAAGTGATGGCTGTCATATTATTCCACATGCACCATATTTTGTCTTCAATTCCTTGTGTGTTTAAGTGAACAGAAAACTCCCTTGAAGCTTCGATTGCTTAATCACTTTTTTTCATTTATACAGACCTTGCTAATAGCACATATTTTATAGCTTTCGGTAGAAAAACCTAGTTTATGTAGTTTTAAACAACTCAAGTTCATGTCAAAGGTTCCCTCTATTATATTATAGTTATATTGTATAACATTTCATTTACAATATTGGTAATTGGGTATGTCGTTATCTGCACTTATATTAGAGTCAGTAGTATAGCTTTGGAGAAATATTGTTCTCAGTATTTGATTGGCTGGCTGTTTTTGTTTTAAGATATTTAAATTAATTTTCGTTCATATTGAGCAGACGGAACACGTTTTTTATTGATACACATGTTCTCACAATATACATCAATAAATATATTTTTATAAAAATCATTGACATCATTATTCTCACATGGTACTTGCATTACTTGTATCTGCATGAAAGGACTTGTGCTTGCCCGCAATGTTGGCTGTTTTACACTTTAATAATTTCAGTACCTTCGACAGCGACTTTTCTGGACTCAGAATTTCCCCCTCCATTAATTTATTTGACATAATTTGATTATGTAAGTAGTCATTCTAATCAATTGTATTTGTATTTATTTTGGTTTCAGATGTAGTTGAAGTTTTCTTGAACATAGTTCTATTTCTAAAGATTCAAACAAAAGAGTGAAATCTTGACCATAAGGTGTTATGTGGCCATTTACTGTATGTTACTAATGTTTACCTTATTCAAGTCAAACATTTCCAATAATCTGCTGGGCAGATTGGTTAATGTTGGTTTCCTGCAGTTTTCCATGGTGGACTCTTAGGGCCGCTGTTGGCCAGAGTTTGCACGGCTGAGAGTAGGTCTGTGGCAGCACCTCCCATGTAACATCATCATAAAGAAGAGAGAACACGACAGCAAAACAACGGACTCGGGATATATAGAATATCTGAAAACACACGACGATCTTTGAGACGTATCTATTTACTGTGTGGATTGTATAGCCGTGAAATTGTCGTTTGACACTGAAGTGGATTGTTTTTTGATGGATATTTAACCGGACTGTGGAATTTTGCTGGAAAAATACAAGGATTGAACAATGAAAGGACAAGCGCTGTTGTTCATCTCTCTCCTTTCGCTCGGCTCGGTTACTGGGCAGGTCAGCTACACGATACCGGAGGAAATGGCAAAAGGCTCTTTAGTAGGCAACATAGTAAAAGATTTAGGTTTGGAAAGCACACGTTTGACTTCTGGTAAAGCTCGAATTTATACCCGAGACAGCGACGAGTACATCGAGCTGAACAGAGAAAGAGGAGTCCTCCTCGTCAAACAGAGAATCGACAGAGAGGCTCTCTGCAGACAGACGACGCCTTGTGCTTTACATTTTCAGATTATTTTGGACAATCCTATGGAGTTTTACAGTGTGACAGTCCAGATTACAGATATTAATGATAATACACCAACCTTTGAAAAAAGCGAAAAGAAATTCAAAATCAGCGAGTCAGCAATCACCGGAGCAAAATTCGTGCTGGAAAGAGCTGTTGATCTTGATGTTGGACTTAATGATCTTCAAAGATACGAATTAAAACCAACTGATCATTTTGTTCTGAAAATCCACAATAACGCAGATGGGAATA